CAATCACACCATAGTCATACCAGGTAGGTCTAGCCTGTATAGCAATCGACATGTCTACTAATGACGTACAGACTGTAATATGGATGCAATAGGCGACTTTCACTAAGAGCTCACGTGGTCAAATCGGGCATTGTGGCGCTGGCATTCAACAGAATTTTAGCTATGCCACTAATGTAAAAAAAGATGGCGGTTTCGGGTTGTTTTTTTTTTTTGGTGATAAAAGGTAAGTTAAAAATCCCCTTTTCTTGCAAGAATATATATTCAATAACTAATGACGTACAGACTTTCAATGACAATTTGTTATCTATTTACGATAATCTATTCGTTGCACAGTCAGTGATGCAGATAAGGATGACATACGATGTCGATGGGCTGAATCAAGTAAAGATGAATGCGCCGGTGTGTGTAAGACCTTCACTGGAGCCGTCCTAGATGAGGTATTAATCAGTTTTGATTCGCTTTCAAATAATTTTTCTTCACTCAGTATCATTTCCAGTCTTTAGAGCAAAGCCCAAATAGCAGAAAGACTCTGAACAGTATCAAACTTTTCAAAACTGTTTTTCGTCCATGTAAAAGAAAATAGCTAGGAAATTTTGTCAAATACTGCATATGAGATAATGCAGTTAGTATAGGTAAATCATATGGTTTTGAGTGCAGTTTGGGATTAATTTGCACGAGTGGGTTTGTCCTGCAGTGCAAAATACATTTTTCTGCTGTGTTATTGGTTAACCTCAGCCAATCAGAATCGATTACCCGATATCACGTCCTGAATTGCCGCAGTTCAAGCTAAGCGGTGAACGCAGCGCGCAAAAGCATCGAGCTTGAAATAACGAAGCGGTAAAGTGAAATAGTTTTTATTCTTCCTTTTCATATTTCGGTTTCTTGTAGGCGCGCATATTATATTTTAGTCAAAAGAATATAGAAAAATACGCAAATGTTAGGTTACAGTACCCTGGGAATGAGGGCCGGCTGCAAAACAGCTAAACGAGCTGTGATTGTTTGAAACAAAATTCACCGCTCACCTGGTTATTCCTGCTGCATGCGCAGTACGAACAACGACACACTAGCGTCGACCCAATCCATTAAATACAGCACGAAAGCATTCGATATAACACATCCAATGTTTGGCTAACTGGAAATGCTTGTATTTTATTCAGCGAAAGTGTCAAATCAAGTATTCAGCTACAGGAAGGATCGGTTGGTACGCTGTCGCTATCATGGTTGAGGACTTCACAGACCGTCTATCGAGTAATGCTTTAAGCGGCATCCCTATTCAATTCTTAGTCCAAGTGTTCACATCTAGCGCAATTTGCTCTAGTAAACCAGAATTTAGTGGAGAAACAAGAGTTGATGGATCGTGTATTGGTGTTCCTCATGGCTGGACATTGAATGAAACGCATCATTGCCAAAAGCCAAGGGACAGGAAACAGGTATTAAAAAGTTCATGCATAAGTAATGACCTTAGAACAATACAAAATCACTACCATGAAGGCATCTGTAAACCCTGATACAGAATTCGTCCTGATTTGCATAAGGTTGACCTTGAAATATCTCAGCCAAATTACATTTAATGTTAAAATTTTTACCCTAAGAAAGAAGCATAATCTAGACATTTTTTAGTACTATACAATATTCGCGTGAGATCTGTATGAGGTTTAAAACAGCTCGCTGTTTTGAATCCTCATACAGATCTCCCGCTCATATCGTATATATAACTTGTACTACAAAGTTATTTGCAATAGGTCATGTTGGTTGATATAACAAGGGACTAAAAACATTAAATTCGACCAACATGGCGGCAATGAAAACCAGCCCACTATGTCTGATATGTCTAAATTTGAATAGAATTATAGAAATCAAGACGATCAGTCCCTCTGGACTCACCAAGTCCTCTTTGGCTCAGTACTCTGCCAATGAATGGTACGTGAACGTGACATGGACTCCAAGTCAATCACAAGTAGATCCTGTCATATTCTGCTACACTGCTATTGATGGCAATGGGTAAGTCTATCACAAGTCGACCCTGTCATATTCTGCTACACTGCTATTGATGGCAATAGATAAGTCAATATCAAGTTGACCCTGTCATATTCTGCTACACTGCTATTGAGTTACCAAATAAGAAATTAAAACTGGAATGGAAATGAAATAAAATGATTAAAAACTTAAGCAAAGTAGATAACGAAAATTGTGAAAAGATCATGAACCAATGAATTAACTATGATTCTCTCTCATAGAAGTACTTCTTTTAAACCTTGAAACCTTACTTTTTTTCACAGATTATCATCCGACCAGAGCTGTGTTACACTTTTGGCTGGAGGTAAATTTTCAAACCATATTATATCGATCATGCTTTCATTGCAATATTCACTATGTTGTTTATACATTCTAGTTGCACCTCCATATATAGTCAATGGTTCCCACTTTCCAACTGGTCTAATTTACCCAAACAATCAAAGATGGACCGTAAAGTTTGACAAGGAGGTAATAATTCTTTGAAAGACAGTCATTTTACACCTCAATGGGTAGTTGTTCAATGAGGCTTGCTTTGGTTCCAAAAAATCGCTCTACAATATCTAACATTGTTTGGTGCATTGTCATAAAACCGTGGCTAGCCTATGGCAATAAATCCAATTGATGCCAACTTTGTCCGGTGGTGAACATTTATACTTAGTTGCTTTATTAATACTGAGGCTGTTCCAGAAATTTGTAAGGGGGTGTCCCAAATGAAGAACTGTACATAGAGACATTATGCATCGTAAATATTTCATTTACTTCCAAAAAGTCAAAAATTACGGCGTTAGGGGGTGTCCGTTGCACCGCAGGACGCCCCCTGAATCCGCCTCTGATTATCATACGCTACGTTTGGTCTTCGTATGACATTTGACGAACCATAGCATTGTACTTGGAAATTCCATCTGAGGAAAGAGAAAAGGTAATAGTTATACTTTACATCTTGATCTTTTTCCTTTTTAGTTTGTTCGTCCAAAAAGAAGCCGATACATCAGGATTTTCAGATCAGATGGCACCGAGGTCTACACTGTTGATGTTTCGATCTCCCATGACGTCATCTACCCGGCAGGCTCACTAGGTCGAACACTTGAATTCAGGCCGTCATTAGCATTCATTGAAAAAAGTACTTACTACATACTTCTTGATCCAGGTAAACGATCTAAAATAGCTGTTAAATTTTGATACTATTTACAATATTTTTCTAATAAAATGTAAAGGCCTAGCTACTAAGATAGGATATATGTCGTATACTCCACTTTAGAAAGCAATTAAACCTTCAAAAACCTTTGAATCTTGTCGATACCCTGTACCTGAAACAGTTTTTGTGCTGATCAAAGTCAGAGTACAGCTAACTCGCATATCGATGCCCTACAACAACCTTGGGCTAACCAAAGTCAGGGAACGGATAACTCCCAGATCAAATAGGAATTTAGCTTGTTAGGTTTTGTGGAAGAAGAGGGGAAGACTATAAGACGAAACTTAAGAGTTAGATGAATCCGTAGCAGGTCCCCAATAGTATCGTCCATTCCTTGCGGTACCATGCCGATCCGGGCAATGCCATGCCATATTTGGTCTTCGTAATATCTCTTTTTTGGATAAGACCTTTCCACTCTTGAGTGCCATCCCACCAAATGTGTAGGAGAGCAATAATTTCAGACGACCGTTATACAGGATGTATGTTGATCTTCTTTACGTGTGATTTCTAATAGGTATCGTACAAGGAACTAAGTTTTGTGGTCCAGAATCTCCACCAATGAGAGATCCTAATTTCTGGAGGTTTAAAATCAGTAAGTAATGTATACTCTAGGAAAACTGCAAACTCATGTGCTGTTTTCAAGCCAATGGTCTGAACAAGGGCGTCACTTGTTTTGATCGGTGAATATGTTTTGGTCATTTTCCTAGCCATTATCGAAGGTGTTTTTAAACACCTATTAAAATAGCGGAGCACCATACTTAAGAAAAAATGGTAAACCATCGAGTTGATTTTTCATGGCTTGGCTGACGTCACTTCCGTCCGTCCGTCCGTCCGTCCGTCCGTCCGTGTACACGACACAGGAATCCCGCTCGATGTCAAAGCAAAACTACTCACAAATGCGGCTCTCATATGCACAGAAAAAATCGCTTTAGGACAAGTTATRGACCAAAAACAATTAAAAAAACACTTTCATGTAGTCAAAGATGGATCAAGAAATGTTCTTCAAGAATTCAGGTGTGTGTTTTTTAGCAAACAATCGTATATATATATATTTTTTTTTTTGACAAGCATTTTTCTCGACGAATCGACAAATCAAAGACTTTCTCTCAAAACTTTTTATATTTCTATAGATAGGCTTAATTTATTTCAATGCTGGAGGAGATATAACACGAAGAGCATATTACAACAAATATTCGTCCTTTATTTAGCTTTGTAAATCTTTAACCAGCTATCGTATGTTTTTCGTTCAAGAAAAATGCAGCTTTGTTCGCCTCCTATCGCGGGGTCCAATCGGTAAAACAAAGAAGACTTTCATTCAATGATTTTATATCTTTCTACAGATAATTTATTTAATCATTGAATGAAATATAATTTTTTACCAAATATTCAACTGTTTATTAAGCTGTTCGAGCAAGTATGATTATAAAAATTAAATTAAATTTGTGTTGTTGAAAGATGTTATTGTATAAAGACCTGACTAGACTTTTTCTCTAAAAAGCTAAAAAATATTCAAAAACATTTACAAACGCCAATTTACTGCCAAAGAAATGAATCATTTTGTATTTTGCATTGCCTTTTGCATTATTTTCAATTTTGTCTCTGTTGTTCTTGTCAACTGTTTAAATGAATGTAAGCTTTGTTTTTGGAAAACTGTAATAGACCTAATTAAGTAAACCTCATTTTTTGCTCACCTTAACCAGTTTTCAAGTCTGTTTTTTGGTCTTGATTTGTCCTAAATCTCCAGATTTTCGATTTCAATGAAAGACATCCTAGGTAAATTTCACTAAACTTGATATTTTATTGGATTATCTGTAGTTAGCTTTCGTTTTTCTTTAAGTAAAAGAGATTCAAAGCCTAAAACTGTCGGCCTTGGAAAACTTTGTGGAAGAATCTTCCAAGAACAAAACTAGCCCCTGGGGGTGGTGGTAAGTTATGTACAAAATTCCTAAGTGGGAGAGTATACTCGCGCAAAAAAAACAAAAATCCATGTACAGTAGTGCATTTTGATTCGATTTCACTGCATGGTTTTTATTATGGGAGAAATTATCATCATTTCGAATAAAAAATAATTGAAGATTTTTCAGTTTCATTCAAATTGTTCTCCCTGTGACTTCCGTATCGGGAGCTCCGCTTTTAGGCAGTGACTAAATATATATATTACTGAGCTTTCTAACCTTTGGATCCTTGGCATTACAGGAGATGTCACACCCCCTGTGGTAACATTCACATCGGCCCCTTTAGTAACCAGCAATGCTACAGCAATCACATGGCGTATAGACGAACCGGCCACCTCCTTGTGCACTGTCACTGGCCCGACAAAAACGTCTGTATTTGCTTGCAATGAATCTTGGGTAGAGTCAGGATTGGCTGAAGGATACTACAGAATTTCTATTACAGCTACTGATGCTGCTGGCAACATTGYACGGCCTGTCTTCCATTCATGGAATGTTGGTGGGTATAGTTTAACTTTGAATCTTACCGGTTCCTTTCCCTATATAGAATTCAGCGTATCAAAATCCGTATTTTCAGCTGACAAAAATGTAACGCGTTTTGAATTAACAGTCCCAGGCGTCTGATTCAGTTTCTCTCCAGTTATGCAATAGGACTTCATTCATGAAATATAATGAACTAATATCATCTATCTGAGTCCACAGATCTAACACCACCAGAGCCATACCTTACCACAAAACCTCAAGCCGTTTCCAAGGAAACATCAAGTACATTCCAATTTAGCTGTCGAAGAGACAGCCCTTGTTATTATGAATGTTCAGTCACTCAAGATGGCGTCAATCCAACGTACTCTCCTTGCTATGGATCTGGGTTTATCGCTCGTAATCTTGTCAATGACGTTGTTTACGTCTTCCGACTTAAGGCACGTGACGGTGTGGGAAATCAGGCACAAGTTTTGTTGTATAAATGGAGAGTTGGTGAGTGATATAAATTAAATCAAATTAACCCTAACCAGGTCTAAACTTTGTGCTTCGGGGCGAGAGGCGCCTTCACATTGCTTTCCGTTCAACTGCGTTTGTTGAGCTGCGCCACAGCAGTATTTGCCGTAGCGACGAGCAATAAACACAGTTTTTCTTTAACGCAGTAATGATTCTTTGCGGAACTGTGTAGTATACTTATTTAGGCATTTAACATCTTTATTCAATTTGTGATTTTGCTACGCTGTGCAACCCCAAAAATATAATAAGAATATTCCATATTTTGCCTTCAAATTCATGCATGGACACGACAGTAATTAATTATTTCTTTAATACGTTGCACAGATACCCAAAAACCAACAATTTCAAACGTGAAAACACTCTCGGTAAGCTGCACCAGCGACCTGAACCCATCAGTCATAGGTAAGCCTTCCGTAACAGACAACGAAGACCCCAATCCCAAGATAATGTACCGAGACTTATCATCACCTTCTGGATGTGGCGTACAACGGATATGGACCGTAACTGACCGCGCTGGAAACATAGCAACAGCCACTCAAACTATCGACATACAAAGTTCATTGGCACCAGTTTTTAACTACGATGATAACATTGTTGTTGCTTGTCAAAGGCTTTTAAGGATGGAAAATGAGATCAAGAAGACGATTAATGTCACCCACCCTTGTGGTATACCAACTGATATAAGCCACAATGACTCGAAGGCCGTGATACAGTGTGGGTCTCCTCTTGTTAGAACTTGGACGGCGAGGGATAGTTGTGGGCATTTCACAACAGTYGTACAAAATATTAGAATTTTGGCCCTTCAGCTTCCAGATTACCCTAAGAATGGACAAGTCAACGTCGATCTAAATCAGCACCTAAATTGGCCACAATACCCGGGCGCGGTCAGGTACAGAGTGTACATATGGAAATCTACAGCAGCAAAGCCAACAACACCAACTGCTGTAACAACATCTAGGGAATTTTACCAAACATCTGGTCAGCTCCCACATGGAACACAGATGCTTTGGCAAATAGAATACATTATAAGTACTGGTCAAATCATTCCTAGCCCCGTTTGGGGTTTCGTTACGAGGCATTTCCCAGACTTTCGAATCGATAGTATTTCGTTGCCACCGAATGCTTTCTCGGGACAGACCGTAAGTGTTTCGTGGACCGTTGGGAATATCGGAGGAATTGGTAACGCAGCATTTCGTTGGCAAGATACAATATACATTGGCCGAACGACTACTTTCTTGCAGGCTAGGCGGATGTCAACAGTTAGCCAAGAAAGATTTCTTGCTCCAAATGATGCTTACGTTGGGCGCGCAACACTCCAGTTGAGAGATGATGATATTGGGGTTTTTTACGTGTTCGTTGTTACCGATGCCTCGCGTCAGGTAAATATTTGCGCCATTGCTATAATGTCTTTACAAGTTGTTCGGTTTTACATATCTTCGAAGATGATTTGCGCGTCCTTCCGCTTTCCAATAATCAATATATTTTTTCCACCTAGACCAAAGCATGAAAATCCTTTTCCCCTTTTCAGATCCAAGATATTGATCGTTCTAATAACATCATGGTCAGTTCTAGTTCCATGAAAGTGGCTTTAACACCTCCTCCTAATCTAAAAGTTGAAAGCATTGTTCTTCCATCAACTACCTACTCAGGTAAGCAACCTTCGTTTTACCATTCAAGGTTGGTCCTCTTTGCCTAATATCTATGTCTCGTTTTGGTTATCGAGGTTAAGTAACACTCGAAGAGCTGATGGAATCCGATTGGATGTTAAATTTGGGATTGTTCTTTTTGAATCAGCAACATCTCGAAGTTTAGACAGTCGAGTTTTTATTGACACTTATTGAGGATGGTAAAGTTTGTTTTTTTCTTTGTTTTGTTTTGTTTTGTTTTGTTTTTTTGTTTTTTGTTTTGTTTTGTTTTTGTTTTGTTTTGTTTTGTTTTTTTGTTTTGTTTGTTAGTTTTGTCAATATTTTTTGTTATAAATACTATTTATAAATTTAGCCTAATAAGAATATTTCATAAGAGCTGTAATATGAATTGCAATTGTTATTGAAGGAAACTCCATAACTGTCAAATGGACTGTAGCGAATCGAGGAGTTGGGATTACTGGGAATGCACAATGGATCGACCGCCTCTTCTTCTCAAGAAACGATATACTTGGTAAAGTTAATAGACGACTTGCACTAACAGGTCACGTGACCCTACCTCCCTTAAAACGAGCAGTTTTGTCAAAATGAAAAACAGAAATGAAGAGAGTATCTCGGCATTAGTAGGGAGGCAGAGTTTCAGCTCATAATAAGCAAAACAGGAGTAATGGCATTAGATATAAAATTGAATGTTTTAAAAGGATTTATATGGGAAAATGCGCTGGATGGCAAAAACTTACCAGCCAACACTTTTCCCATACAAATCCTTGTAAAATATTTGATTTTATATTTAATGTCATTTCTTCTATAGTCAACATTTCGAGCTAAAATTTCGCCCTCTTACGAAATTTGAGGAGCTCTTTTCATTTCTGGAGTTAATTTTGACTGTTTTGCTCGTTTTAAGGGGGATAGGCTCACGTGACCAGTTAGTGCATCTCATTTATCAGTCCTTCCCCATATAGCTACCCCATCGGAATCCCGGTTGAAAAGTCTTTGAGAATAAATAGGAAAGCCTGCCTCATATGAAACTATTACTATTACAAGGGGCGTTTAAAACTTATGAAATGATTCGAACCCTCAAACGACCTCTTGTCAGTCAGTGCATGGATAGCTTACAGATCAGTCAGTCGAATTAAAATTTAGGATATTGAGTTTTGCGTAGGCAAGAAAGCGGAGAATCCAGGGAAAATCATCGAATCAAGGAAGAGAAAGTAACAAATTCTACTGACATGTGATGGCGAGTCAGACTCCAGGCCGGAATCGAACCCAACACCCTACTATTTTATACTGAAACGTTTGATGCCTGAACTATCCCTAACCTAGCCTATTTTGTAGGAGAATATATATGAAATATATATTTATATATAGCCTATCTTGTTTATTGTCAGATAATGACGATAACTACCTTGGTTCCAAAGTACATAATGGTTTTCTATCAGTACGTCAGACCTACACAGAAACAATGTCTGTCAATGTACCCCGAGCCATATTTGGGGATTTCCACATTATCATAATGACGGATTCCACAAACACCGTGTTTGAAAATACTGGAGAAAACGACAACGTGCAAGCTTCTACGGTAATATTGAGATAGATATGACATAGAAAATGTTCTGTATGGTTGTGAAATATTTCAGTTTTTCACACCTTGCCTTTAACTTGATTRTTCACAGGAATTTGAAAATGAAAATGGCTTAAGCATCCCCTTGTTAATATTATTATAACGTGATACTAACCATGTTATGCCGTGATTTTCATACGAAATATTTGATGTTATTATAAGATGCGCGCTGTTGCAGTCTACATTTGTGAGTGTATCACACGGGCCAGGGAGTGAGCGTTGCGTGACGTCGCTAAGAACGGCTGCTGGTTAGACAAGGGCGCGCCCGGCTTTTTTGAATTTTTCAACAAAACTCTAAACTCAAACGTTTTTGGTCATTTTTACCGTATGCCATAAACAATTTGTTGCCATTTTTTTTCTTAAAGTCTTCTTTGAAAGTTATTTTGAGTCCACCACCGGATCTGATAGTCAGTAGCCTAGATGTACCATCGTCCGGTTTCGTCTCAGGAAGTACCGTACCCATAGCTTATAGTGTCACAAACATGGGACTAGGAGCACCTTTCCATAACTGGTGGAATGATCAAGTGGTAAGTGGCTCTAAAACTTTAAAATTCTCATCAGTTCTTTATCTTTGAAGTACGCACCATGTCTTTTCACTTCTAAATTGAATCTCTTTTTTTATATATACAGTCAATCATGAATCTCGAAACTAAAAGAAAATATATCATTGCAACTCCATCCTACTCTGGAGTATTCCCTGCTGGAAATTCATACTCCAGGAAAGTGAGTTTCCTCGTTTCGTCTCATCTAAAGACAGGAAAATATGGACTCTCCGTGCACACAGACGTACTCAACAGAGTCTTTGAATTCACATATAAGAAAAACAACGTTAAAGAAATGAACGTCACGATCGTCCAACGCCTTCCTGACTTAGTTGTAACGCGAGTTCAAGGTTTTATTATCAGTGACCCACTTGCAACCTACTTACAAATCAATTATACCATTGAGAACCGAGGAAGAGGAATAAGTTACGGAGCACCTTGGGTTGATCGGGTTTTCTTAACCTCGACAACTAGTTTTTCCATTAACACTGCAAAAAGTCTGGGTGCTGTAAGCAGACAGACCAATTTACCTCCAGGTGAATTCTATAATGTCTTCAATGAAAAATTCAAAGTGAAAAGAGAGGTCTTTGGCACACGTTACGTTTTCGTTGTTGCAGATGCGTATTCGGCAATTCTAGAAGAGGATGAAAGCAACAACGATGGACACAGTCAAGCACTAGCTATCCCACGTCGGTTCCCAGATCTTGAGGTGCAGATACTTGATGTATTAAGTGGATCATATATTTACGCTGGAACAAGTATGAAAGTCGCTTGGCGAGTTAAGAATGATGGATCTGGAAGCACTTTAGACATATCATGGCGTGATATGCTATACTTGTCAAAGACAACATCTCTGGGTTTGGGTGCAGTTAAGATTTACGAAGGCAGCGTCCTTCCGCGCATCCTTCCTAAGCACTTTTATAATTTCACTGCGATGGTGCGTACCCCAGACAATATGTATGGCGAGTACTTTTTAATAATCAAGGTTAATGGTGACAACGCACTTGCGGAGACTGATTTCAGCACTAACAACATTGCATATACTCGTATAACATTAGCAAGGATGCCACTACCCGATCCTCAGATCGTTAGTGTAACTTACCAGTATAAAGCCGTGGCAAATCTCCTTGAAGTCCAATGGAAGGCTAAAAACTTTGGGTATTCCATGACTAAAACAAATACCTGGACAGACAGAATTGTTCTTTCATCATCCAGTTCAAAAGTAACAGGATCTGGTGTTAATTTCTTGGGTTCAAGGGATGTTACTGCCAAGTTATCCTCGCAGCAGGAATACAGTGCTTCAACAACTGTTTCAATACCAAAAAGCATTTCTGGCCCCATGTACGTTTATGTCATTGTAAACTACCAGGGAAAACTACAGGAAAGCTCTCAAAATCAAGATAACATTGGGCATGATGCTACACCAGTTCCTATTAAGAAACTACCGCTACCCATCCTTGATGTTGAAATACAAACAAGGCTTTCTACAAATGTGACTTGCGATCAACCTTTTTCGTTTATATTCAAGGTGCAGAACATAGGGGAAGGCGATGCCAATTTTGATTCTTGGACCGATGCAGTTTTTCTGTACTATAAGAGTGACAGCTCGTTACGGGAGGTCATGGACTATGGGATGCGTCTATCGTTAAGGATCCACACGGGTAGGCTTCGGGTCAACGCTTCGTACGCCGTCAACACAACCATAACAATCTCTTGCGTGGAGATGTCTAATGTCTATCTATATGCTTTTTCTGATATAAATAATCGCATAGGCTGGAAATCGCCACCAAAGGACTTCTCTAAGACTATTCATTTGCTTTCTGGACCATTACCAGATCTACAGGGAGTTTTCGTCAACTCCTCTTTGCAGACTCAGGGAGGGTCCCCTTTGAAGGTTCATTTCAAAATTTCTAATAATGGAGATGGTTCTACAAAAGGAAGTTGGTTTAATGCCTTGTATTTGAGTCAAGATGTTCTCAAAGATCCTTTTGATCTAAAGCTCGCCTCCCAAAATACTAATGTTCGTTTAACGGGGAACACTTCTGCGCTGTTAGATGTAGTTGTTTCTATTCCCTACGACACGGTTGGAAGCGACTACTATCTGCTTCTGGAAGTAGACAGTGGTAACCTTGTTTATGAAAGCAACGAGGATAATAACATGGCCTACGATTTATTGAGAATTCAACCAACAGCAAGAACCGATATACTTGTGTCTTCAGTATCTACTGCGTCTACGACACTATCTCTTGGGTCAGGTATGTTGCACTAAACAACTCGGTATACTCGGGGGCGGATCTAGCAGAACCCCCTAAACAACGACTGAACCCTCTAAATGACAATTACGAACCCCCTGATTAGATCATCTTGATTTTATCGAACCCCCCTAAAGGACGAGTACAAACTCCCTAGTTTAAARAGCTAGAAGCTGTGGTTTTTTTATCGCCAAACTACATTTCTTTTTTGGGGGTTCAGAGAAAATCCTGGATCCACCCTTCTATATTACTGATCACACATGGAAAATATATATGAATCTTTAAACCTTTAAGGAAGTTCCTCCTGTGGCCATGGCCACGAAACAATGAAACAAGCCATCGAGTCAAGGCCAGTACAATATCCCGAATACTAGCAGAGGGCCTCGGGTACCGCTATGAGTACTATCCGTGATCTCTATTTGATCTCGATAGCAAGTTTTGCAAAGTTTCATTCAATGCCTTTATACATAATGAAATGAAATGATTTTTCAGTTGTTAAGGTAGATTGGACTCTCAGGAACAATGGTACTCAGATAGCCAAAGGATACAAGTGCGATACAGTTTACCTTTCTGAAGATGAAATTTGGCAAATAGATGATACAGAGGTTGCACAACCCAAATGTGAATTTACATCGCTGCTGCCATACAATAACGGGGTTAATCGGGATAGGGCGTTTTCCTTACGGAAGCCCTTGCCACTTGTTGCGCAGGGTCAATACCGTGGACTAGTAAAGAGTCGTAGTAACATACGGGATCCTTTCCCTAACAACAACATCAAGGCGGGACCAAAAAACATCAACGTGACATTTCCATTGTTGAGCCTTGGAAGCTGTGCTGAAGCAGACAATGGAATATCGGTGTTTATTATCAACGACGTACCACCCGAGATGACTTTGATCGTTACAGCACGTGTGAACGTAGTGACATCATTCCAAGACTTATATCTACAACATAATAAGCCTGCCTCTTCTTATCATTATGATGGCAAATCAAAGTTTGCCATGTCTGCCAAACAAGATGCGTTAGTAACCCCCACAAAGAAAGGTTCGTATTACGCCATGTTTCAAAGAAACGACCAAACTCCAGCCCCTGGTGTCAAATCAAGAGTCTGTGCAAAACTTGCCAAGTTTGAAATCTTGAACATTTTTCCAACTACTGTTGCTCCACTTGGAAATGTAACGTTACGAGTTGAAGGCACGTTGTTTGGCTGGAAACTGGAGGTGTTTTTGATAAGTAAAGATGAAGAAATAAAAATAAAAGCGAAGCGAGTTTATCGTTTTAGTTCCATGTTGTTGTACGCCACTTTTAACGTACAAGGATTAACTGAAGGCAAAACATTTCATTGTAAAATTACAGACACAGCTAAGAATGGAAATGCTGTTTTGAATGACTCTTTGACCATTACCAATGGAGTACTTGGAAAACTAACAGTTGCCATGAATCGACCCCAAGCCGTTAGATTACTCGATACAGGTGATATAACAGTCAGTTACCAAAATATTGGGGACACAGATCTCCCGAGTCCTATTATATTGTTTAGTGCTGACGGGAAGGCTTCGCTGAGGTATGTCCAAGATGGACGCCAACCAAGCACTTATGACACTTCTCTTTTCGTTGTCGCCCAACCTTTAGAGGGTCCTGGGGGTATTTTGCCKCCAAAGTCTTCCGGAAGATTGAGATTCCAGGCAAAGCACCTTCCAGGTAGCGGAACTGGAAGGTCAAAGCTCAGTGTGCGGTCCTTGCTGGACAACGACGAACCTCATCTGTTTATGGAAAGCAAAGRTGAACTCAAACCAAACCATCTCTCAGATGACCTATGGGAACCTGTTTGGAAGAACTTTCTGTCGTCTGTAGGAACGACTCAAAAGTCATTTAATCGTCGATTATCAAGTGTTGCGACACAGATGAGTTTGGATGGAAGTAGTGTACACATGGTTGATGAACTGGTTAAGCTTCAATTGGACTTTGCAAATGGTGTCCAAAGTGGTGAGTAGTGACATGTAAATATTTCACTCTTTTAAAACTGTAATCTCTTAAGGACGGTGCCTACTATTGTCAGCGCGCACACTTACTGCGCATTTACACCGAGGGATTCTCGCGGGTTTTAAAAGCAAAACACTCAAAGGTACAGAAAACGCCGGCTTGGGACATATTTAAGGCAAAGAACAACAGCAATAACTATTTTCTTATGTAGTCAAAGATGGATCACAGAGTAGAAAAAGCCGAGTTGCGATCGCCTTGGATCGGTGAATAATAAAAGAACTTTTTCAATATTTCCGTACTGATAAGCTTAGTTTGTTTTAAAGTTAAATGAAAATTGAAAAGAAATCACACATTACCTCAAATATCAACCATTCATTTAGGTTTTCCTGCGAGTATAATTACATAAAATGAACTGACTTTTGTCGTTGAAAGACCTCGCCGTATTATATAAACTGTCTTTCACTCGCTAAAAAATATATTCATAAACGTTCACGCAAAAGGCATACTGTCAAAGAAAATTATTATTTTGATTTATTAAATCTGTCTCTTGCACTAGTGAAGTTAAACTGAATGTAAGCTTTTATTTTACGAAAGTTTTTGCCTGGCTCTTTGCATGCACGACTGCCGTGAAACATTCATGAAAAGCCGTCCTTTTTCCGACTTCAAAAAATACTTTTACATACCATTTGCTTAAGGAAATCTTTTCTTCTACACAGGAAGTAATTATTAATTATTGTTCTTCGAATTGAATAAGTTTTCTGGTTCTTTGAAGGCTTGAAATATCGCTTTTTCTTCAGTTTTCCTCCTGCTTGTAAAACCACGAGGGGAGGAAGGAGTTGCTGCAAACACGCCAAAAACAGAGCTGGTCACGCTGTTTCGTGACGCCGCGTCACGCTTGTCACGCTTTTAGCACCCAATTTATCCTCAAAAAAATACTTTAAAAAATCATAACTTTTTAAAACGCGTCGTTACCCCCAGTTTTTTTTTCATCAAAAATATAAGAGAAATATTCAGATAACTTTTTATACTAGCATTTCTAAAATAAAAATGGTTTTGGATGCAAATGTAAGCAAAGATGTAGTATCCCTTCAGAACCATATTTAACACTTTTGAGGGCAAAATTTGGTTTAAAAAATGGTTTCTTATATGATACAAAAAAGCTTTTATATTTGATATAAAGAACAAAGCTTGTTGTTTATTTGAAACAATTTTCAGATAAAATCTATCAAAACAACTTCGAAGTATGATTTTTTTCCCTTGCGTAAAAAAGTGCTTACGTCATCGGTGCTTAACGTCAATTATCTCACTTAGATGCGTGGGTACCCCCAATTTTTTTTCCGGATTCCATTGGCCTCTTGGGTGATTTAAATGACTGACACAATTTGAAAAAAATAAAAATGGGTCGCAATTAGTAGGCACCGTCCTTAATTATACTTCATTATAATTTTGCAGGCAGTAAACTCCTAGATACAGTTGATGTGGCAGATCAGTATTCTTCGAGCCTGCTGACTCTTCGTCTGGAACGCATATACAGTCCATTCTTGACACGGCGCCACGGAAAGGGAATATTCGGGGTTGGATGGATTGCTCCTTGGTGGTAAGAATAGCTCTTGAAATAAATTCGGAGTCATTTCTCATTGATGAAAATTCTCTCTTGTTTAATGTTATTTTAGGGAAACGTCGATACTGTCTATGAATGACTCTGTCATAAATATTCTGCACTTAAGAGATGAAATAATGCTCTGGTTCGTCAAACCTGGATATTTTGAAGCCTATGGCAGTCAGCAGACCATTGAAATCAAAGACGATGGTAAGATCTTGCAATTTTTTATATTTTGAAGGCTCCCTTCATCCGATTACGAAATTGAGAGCGAGGACCAAACTCGAGGTAGCCGGACTTGCACCGGCAGTAGAAAGTATACCACTAAAGTAGTTCATTCTGCGCAAATCCTTTTCAATTAAGTTTGACTGATTCATAAAGAAATAAACCTTATTAGACGTTTTTATTCCATGCAGTTTACTAATCCAGGGTTTTGATTTCATTAACTCAAAATTATTGTTATTTTCAGTTTTGATTTTGACTGGCGTCGCATCTGATGAATCAGAGCAGCTCGTCTTTGACTTACAAACTAAAAGGCTAAAAGAAATTCGTCGTGTGACCGCGAGAAACGGCACCATAAACGTGACTGCCTACACAGCAGACAATAAGCCAAGGCAACTGGAACATTCTGCAGGAGGATCGATTACTATTGACTTTAACTCTCGAGGGCTTGTGAGGAAGGTGGTGCTGATTGAATCAAACAGGGAGCAGTCAGTAAGGTAGGACGTAGGAACATTATTGTATTATATGGACGTCGTCATAAAGTCGACCTGTTAAAGGATCATTCCTGCAGTTGGCAAAAATAATGGTGTACATTTTTGTCTATGTTATTTTACAGCTTGTATAATTACGATCAAGATGCGCCAATTTTAATATCAATTACTTCAAATGAAGAAACCACGAGATACTCGTACACCAGCAATCAAGACCTGGAAAGTGTGACATACCCTAACGGCGCAACACTTCGTTACACATACAATCCCGACACTGGCTTTTTAGAGAAAATCATGGGGTTAACACCCGAGGGGCAAACATYAAAGGCTGTGGAGTTCCAGTACAATTGGGATGGTTTAGTCAAAGTCATCAATTTGGTGGATAACAGCAGTTCGACGTTTGCTTTTGATGAGACCATGAAGGTGTTGTCAATCACTGGGAACGATGGGATACCCTTACGTACTCGAACTACAATATCTGGGAGCACTATAGTCAAAAGTCTCATTCATGGAGATCAGGTACATAAATATATATGATAATGTAGATAAGCAAGTGAAAATTAATCCAATTGACAGCTGCCATGGAAATTGCCATGTTAAAGGAATCCGTATGCATTGCGAATATATGTACCGGACGTGAAGCCTTTGACTTTGGATTTCGCATTCCATTGAATAAATCTCCTTGGAATCGCTGATGGGGCAAATGATTCCATTTCGAGTTCGCTTTTGCTCAGTCTTAACTTAGCCTCGATTGTGTACAAATGTGTCCTTTTCTTTCATTAAGGTCTATTGTATAGTAAGCAATGTACGCACTACGAGTTGATCAAAATGCCACGGGTTTTGGTTGAATAGCTGAATATTATAACACACAAACAATACTAAGACTGAGCAAAGAGAACTTGAAACTAGAGTATTAGAAATATTTCTTATACCATTTACACTATCTTTAAAAGGTTGTCGAACAAGAAAGCTCGAGTACAGACAAAAAGACGGTGCAAGTTGAAGATGCCAACGGTGATAAAGTCATATATTTGGTTAATAATGATGGCATTCCTCAGAACATCACTGATGGTGCAGGGAACGTCTTTAGTTTCAGCTATGATAACACCACAAATCGTCTATCAGAATCAAGGTTTCCTGACGGTACCAGAGAGTCTTTCGGATACGATGCACGTGGCAATTTAAACAAAAGAACCRCAAGAAATGGCAGAGATGTTATTTTTGAAAATGAAGCAGATGGGAAATTGGTAAAGAGCAGTAAGACTATATTTTGACAGTAACACTTTTTGGGTAGCATAGGTGGCGTTCTCGGCTAACGCGTCGTCTTTCACCGCTGTGAGTCCAACGGGTTGGGTCGCTGGCTCGAGCCCTGCGGTCGCCACACGTGAATTGAGTTTGTTTGATGCGTTGTTCTCTCCTGTGCTACGAGGGTTTTCTTCGGGTTCTCCGGTTCTCCAACAATGGTCACATTAGTATAAAGTAACCCGGACCAAATTTGTATTTTCATAGGTCAAGAAGTCCGTTCCCGATGTTGGTCCAACCTACTACTTACACGATTCACGAGGAAACATCATCATGGCGACAAATAAGGAAGGAACGGTCACGCTTCAATACAATCGTGACAACAAACCAACTAGCGTTACCTATCCCGATGGGCGTCACCTTGACTACAGATATAACAAGAATGGCCAAAGAATAGGCTTGTCTGAGAACTCTACAGGTTATAATGTAACCTATCTCTATGATAATCATAATCGCCTATCAGAGGTTCACACTACTGGACATGAGGAGGCACATGAACTTCTTAAAATGGAATATGACTCGGATGGAAAGCTGGTCAAAAAGATCCTAGGCAACAATGGCTCTTCGAAGTATACTTATGTACCAGGGATGAAGCGACTAAAGAAACTCGTAAATATTTCGCCATTTGGGAACATATCGTCGAGTTTCGAGTACGATTACGATGACAAGGGAAGACCTGTCAAAATCACATCGAAGGACGGGATTCGTTTATTCGCGTATGACGCAGCTTCTCAACTAGTTGGTTGGACGGATGTCATGAAAAACGGCTCCAGATACACACATACATACGAGTATGACAGTCGTGGAAACAGGGTCTTCTCCACCGATGGTGGCCACAGAGAGAACTATGAGACCGACAATGTCAACCGGTACATGTCAGTCGGGAATAACAAGTTTGCCTATGACAGAAACGGTAATATGCTCTCAAAAAATAACCCAAAATCACGTGCCAAGGATGTGAAGTATGTATTCAGCGAGGAGAATGTTTTGCTGCAAACAGAGACAGTAAATGAAAGGTAGGCCATTCATACTACAGACGTTGGATAGCTGATCCTATGGACGGTCCAGAAAGAGACCTTGCAATCGTTAGCCAAACTATGTTAAGGATTTGAGTAACGTAAAAAGACGGTGCATAAGTTACATGTATTGCACCATACAAACCGTAAATCTGCGAGATTTTAAATGGTTTCCTATTTTCTTACATGGGAAATATATATCTATTGTAAAGTACGAACATGCACGTACCATATAACATTCAAATGGCATTGACTAGTTTGTGTAGTCAAAAAAATCGTAAGTGTTTATCTGAAAATTTTGCAACGCCTTTCTTAAAATCTGTAAAAAATTTCTTTCAGGTGTGATTACGTCTACGATTCACTGGGGAACTTGTACAAAAAGAAGTGTACCAGCGGCGAGACTCGTTATGTTGTCGATCCATTTGGTGTCTTTGGCAGCAACATGATCGCCCAGGTAGAGCATTAGATCAACATTCATAGACAGAAGAGTAGTAAACCACATCTTTTGTTTTCATACACACAAGAGAGGCTTAGTACTTTTCTCCATATGATTAGTACATTTATGCAAAGGATCTATTACGGTGCGACTACTACAGCCTGGGCAACCCAGACAGCGAGAACCAATCAAATTGTAGAATGAATTGGAAACCAACGCCAAATCATTGTCGTGCCAATCAGAAACCTAGAATGCACGAGAATGGCAATTATTACTCGTGGGAATAAAAGAATATGTTGAAAGCCTATTGTTGTCTGCTGGCTTCTGATGTTCAATTTGATTGGTTCTCGCTGTCTAGGTAGCCCCAAGGGCGGATCCAGCCAAAATTATAAGGGGCGGGGGGCTAATTGAGTTTCTACCGTCAACACAACGGAAAACAAAAAAAGCATCTAATTCCTCAGTTTTTGTTTTGTTTTGTTTTGTTTTTCTGCTGAAGGGGGGGCTTTAGCCCCCTTCCCCCCCCCCCCTGGATCCGCCCTTGAGCCCAGTTATGGTAGTCGCACTGTGACAGCATACATCCATAAAATGCCACCAAAAATGCACTAATATTATTGGATATTCTTAGATTTCAGGGGACATGCAACTCACTCTTTTCGTTCATACAGAAAACGAAGGGTTACTTGCTCGATTGGATGGAAATGGTACTGCCGCTTATTATGAATTCAATGGAGAAGGGTGAGTTGAGCGGTTTTGATGAATGATGGGTTAATGACCTAGTTGGTGTTAAGTAATACGTAAATGCATCGGTCAGGGCTCAACCAATTTCAACCTCCGGACCTCATGTTGCGTCTCTCATGTCAGAGGGTACACCAATAGCGGTTTGAGAACACCCCATTATTGTACTCCATATCCCGCGATATTTTTTCGAAATTCCGGTCTCTCCTTTCTGTAACAGAAAGGCAGGCCATTTCTATGTCTATAAGCTAGTTAATAAGTTACGAAAAGCAGGAAACACGTTAATTAACCCCGTATCACGCTAGCATTCCTCGAAAATCCCGCATCCCGATCCCTCAAAAACACAAAATCCCGCTACCGCTTCACGTTCACGCTCAAATTCCCGCTACTTCCCGCTCTGTATTTCGCTCGATCATGTACCTCCTCCCCCGGAAAATGCTAAATCCAGCATCACGCGAAACCTATTGTATACCCTCATGTCACTTGAAACAACAAGCTAAAACATGCTATCACGTTTTGGACATTTCATTGTCTGATCCGGCATACCTGAACGCTTTAATAAAATATGGATGTCTTATTTCTTTCAGTAATGTTGTGGGTCTCATTGACCACCAAGGAAAAGTTCTCAATTCCTATCGTTACGATCCTTTTGGAATCATCTTGTACATCAGGGAAAGTGTATCCAATGATTTTCTATTTGTTGGTCAATGGGGAGTCATGCAAGAGAAGGGTATCCCATACCTGTACAGGATGCGATCAAGATATTACGATGCAGAGATTGGTAGATTTCTGAGCTACGATCCATTAGGTAATTGAGCTATACAGACCACCCTCTCCAAGACATGTAGACCAAACAATTCATTGAACCGGAATATTTTCCCCCATATATTTCTCAGGTTATCGTACATTAAGCACCAATCTCTACCAATATGCGTACAACAATCCAATATCACTCCAGGATCCACAAGGACGTTTCCCACTCATACTAGCAGGTACATTGATAGGAGCTGCTGCCAGCGTAGGGTCCTATGTTGTTGGACAGTGGGCTACCGGAGAAGACATAACATTGGGAGGTATGTAGATAAAATCTTAAGGGATAAACACTACTTTAATTTACAATGAAACCCCAAAAAGGTGTGCATTTTGGAGGTGTAAAATATTTCTCGTGTGACAAGTCCATGTGTAATTGAGGATAACAAAATATTGTGGCCCCAAAAACAAAGAAAAAGACAGTGAAAAAAAATTGTTAACGCGGATAAGTTTTATATCATTATATTTTATTTATTAATAAATAAAATCCCATGAGTATTTACAGAACTTTATGTATTCAAATTATTACTTTGCTTTACTTTCATTCTTGAAAATGACGCYGGAGGGCGTCGAAACATCGAGTATACTAGTCTTCAATTTTATTTTAAGAACTAAAATAAAATTTGTTAATCATTAAGTAATTATTGATTTCCTCTTCAGGCGTTGTAAGTGCTGGTTTTACTGGGGCTGTAACCGGAACAGTCGCGACTCTCGCAGCAGTAGCCGGGGTCCCATTAGCGGCAAGTCAGTACAATACTTGTTTTGAATAGATTAAAAGACTAACGAACAAAGAAAGAAAGATGCGTGCGAAAGGATGGAGCAAAACAAAGAGAATAAAGAAATGGACCCTTCTTAAAAGCATCGTATACGAGGCTAACATGGAAATACAAAAGAAATGGCACAAATTCCATCGAGAAAAGTGTGATTTCTTTTGTATTTCTATGTTAGTCTTGCATCCAACATAATTTTGAGAAGGGTCCATTAGCACAAGAAAGAGAAAGAAGAGGAAGAATTAAGGAATAAAGGAGGGAGGGAGGGAATGAAAACAACTAGCTTAATGGATGCTGAAATCGAAATAAAATTCAAAGTAAAAAAGTTTATTGTATACACCTACTTGCAAGAACGTTGTCATACGATATTAGAACATTAGTAATTTATTGAGAAAGGAATACATTAAAAGACAAAAGAAAAAGTTCAGCTTCAGTGATCTTCTTTTGTTTTTTAATATAATTCCTATCCCACTAAATCACTAATGTTCTATTTTCGTATGATAACGTTCTTGCAAGTAGGTGTAAATTAACCAGATAGAGGTTTAAATTTTTTTGAATTTAAAATTAAATGACATACCATGATAACAAGACAAAGTTTGTGGCCAAAAGAATCCAATTTAGCTGGCAACATTCATCTATCTTTATACAGGTGTGATGTTGGTGGCTCCATATGCCTTCTCCTCCAATATGTTAGGATATATGATGAAGCACAGCATTGACAACCCAGGCGAACGAATAAACAAAAATGAAATGTTGCTGGATTCAGCTATTGGAACTGTAACGCCCTTCATACCAATCAAAGGCCGTAAGTATTTATCACGAGATATAGATATAGTTTAAATACTTTCATACAACTCTTTAAAGTGCCTATTACCCTTCTGACAATATTCACAGTATTGATTCTACATGGGGTGAGATGTTCAATAACTCGCAGTTTCATAGTTTTGCGGCTTCTTGAAGCTAAAATAGGTTTTTCGTGGCACATGCTAATTCTGTGACATTAAAGGTAAAGCTTTCTCGTCAAGAAAATTAGTATAAAAAGGCAGTATATATATATTTATAAAATAACTCTCATTCTGATTGGTTGGGAGCGCGTGCTTTATGAGAGCACTCACCACGCATGCGCCCTTTGCATCTTAAAAAAGAAATAAAAAAATTGCTCACTGTGCTGTGTGGAGTTTTAGCATATACCAACTTGTGTACTTCCTAAGAACGCGCACGCTCATTGGTTAATTGGAGGTGA